CAGGGAGTGGTGGTTAAGTTTTCTGAGGATCCTCTGAAACTGGAAAAATATTTTCATATGAGATCACATTAAAAAGTTAATTGTTTTGCTGTTTCAAAGTCTTAAAGTCTTAGTAACCACTGTATCTGGTAAGTCACCTCTACTCTTTTCCTATAAGTACATTAGTAATATGGGAAATCTTAGGTGGCTGGGGACAGTATGTACCACAGGATGGGGCAAGGGTGGAGCTCGAGGTGGAGATTAAGGCAGTGGGAGGGGCGGAGGGAATCAGGGAGGACACAAATGCCCTCCAATATCCAGGTAAGCATTTTTATTATTAATTAATTAATTTAGTTAGTTATTTTTATTGAAGTAGTCAGTTACAATGTGTCGATTTCTGGTGTCCAGCACGATGTCCCAGTCACGCATATACATACATATATTTGTTTTCATATTCTTTTTCATTAAAGGTTATTACAAGATATTGAAAATATTTCCCTATGCTATACAGAAGAAACGTTTTAAAATCTATTTTTATATATAGTGAGTAACATTTGTAAATCTCAAACTCTGAAGTTTATTTTTAAAACAAATAAGCTGAAAGTCAGTCGGGGGAGTGACCCTCTGCCAGTGGTTATCAGACCTCTCCCCGAAGGGCAACACGCAGTGACAAGCAGTGGAGTCCCCCACACAAGTCCCGTTTATGGTTAGAGAACGCAGTGGCCCCAGCTTCCCCTCCATGCCGCCCTTCCTCACTCTGGTCACCTGTGTTCTCGGTCCAGCATGTTCACGTCATGTTTCTTGAGCTGAAGGTACTGCTTCAGCTTCTCCAAATCCCCAACTGAGGCAGCTTTGTGAAGTTTCTTTAAATCCTTATTTCGAAAGTTGTAGCCTGGCTGGGCAGGGGGCCCAATACTGGCCTGGCCTTCAGACAGGTATGAACAGGAACTGTGGGGCTCAACCTTCCTCCGCCATAAGGTGAAAATCTTCTTCATGGCGGCACAGGAGACAGTCCTTCAGTTGGACCAAGAATGTTCCTGGGCCTCCTAACTGCCCTACTGACCCGCGGGCCCGGGCGCCCTGGCTCGCAGGCTCCTGTGGCCAGGTCTTCACCCCGGTGTAGTGGAAGCTGACCAAAGGTCGGAACCCGGCTGGACCGCTTGCCTCGGTTACCTGGCAACACCCGGGGCCTCGCGCAGCCGTGGTTAGGACCCAGCTGCAGGGTCTACCAGTCAAGATCTTGGATTAACTGTTACACTCTCAGTCTTCCTATTAGATGGAATGCCTTTGGGTAGAAAGCTACCAACTTTCTTACAAATAACCCTTTCGCCTTCAAGGACAGACCTAATGGTGTAAACTCTTGCAGACTGAGATTTACCTTCCTCGTGGTGGAGATGAAACTCCTCTAGGGATCTTGCCTCCAGCTTACCCCTAGCCTGTCACCAACAAGGTTCTCGTGGTACAATTCATCTTTAACAATAACTGAGATCCCTTCATAATCTCAATTTCAAACATACTTTTGAATACCATCTTTCATAATTTAAGCTCACTTTCTCTCACCACAAAACTCAAAAAATCCTTCCAACTCATTGCACCCACAGTCCATTAATTCTGCAACCTTTCTCTGACCTTGACCACCCTGTTCTCTGTCCTCACTTCCCTACTTAACTAGATCAAAGTCCATGGTTAATCATTATCATCACTCCCCTATATATACCTTCAATATCTTTGCCCCACCCCCATTTCTTTTTACTCATCTACCTAAACCACTGACCTAGTTAAATCTAAAACTCCCATCTAAACTTGTTTTCCCTGGGCCACTGGATGTGACTAAAGGAAAATACAAATCTATGCTGTCTTTTCTCACTTTTAGTTCATAAAAACCCTCCTGAAGTGGATTAGTATGCTTCCCGGCAATCCTTAGATATTTCCCTGATCCATTCACACTCACACATTCCTTGAACATTTCATATATTCTCCCTCTTCAAACTCATTCTTGGCTGATGAGCTGGCTTCCTGACCCATGGAGAAAAGAGGATGAATCAGAAGAGAAATTCTGTAGGCTACCAGAACATCTACCTATGTACCTACCCCTTGATAAAAGAGTATTTTTTTGTCTCTCCTGTTCATATTGATGATATGTCCCTGTTTCTATCAAAGCCGGGACTTCTATTATGTACTAGAACCCCGTCCTCTGTATTGCTTCAGCAACTACCCTCTCCTGCTTTCTCATGTCTTTAGTTTCCCTCTCTGATGATATTCTTATTAATGTAAGTACATGCTATTATTTGTCTATCCTAAAAACAAAAACAAAAAAACAAAAAACAAAAAACAAAAAAAACCCCAACAAACTCTTCCTGCAACTATTGCCTCATTTCTCTCCTTTACAGCAAAAATCCTTAGAATTGTCTATAATCTTGTGGCCTCTGCCTACAATCTTTCTTCCTCTGTTCTCACTTTTAAAGCAATTCCCATCATTACCCTATCTCCCATTTCTCTCAATCCACACTGTTTTAAGTATGATTGACTATGAGCTCCATCATGTGAAATCCAATTGTCAGTTCTCAGTTTTCATTTTAATACTTGTTAATCCATCGCTTGCTCCTTGAAACACTTTCTTCACTTGGCTTCGAAGACATCACACTTCCTTTCTGATCATTACTTCTCAGCCTAGGTTGCTGACTCCTTTTTATCTCCAGTAATGGAGAGCCTGAGGATAAATCCATCAGTAGCTTAATTTTTTTTCCCTCAAATTCTTGGAGTCATCCTTGAATCTTATCTTTTACAGTTACATTTAAACTGCCAGCAAATTCTGTCAATTCTACCTACAAAATATATCCAGAATCCATTTAATTTCTTCCCCTATCCCTGTTCCCTTCTGGGTGACCTCATTCAGTCCCATGGTTTTAAATACCGTCTGTATACTGTCAACTCCAAATTTGGGAGTTCCAGTCTGGTTCCCTCTTCTGAACTGCAGACTGTACATCCTGTTGTCCATAGACTCTGTAAGCATCTCATACTTAACATGTCTCAATTCATCTCCTGACACTCCACTCTGTTATTATCTTTCTTACTTAAGAACAGGTAACTCCATTCTTTATGTTGCTCAGGTAAAAGAGTGTTAGCTTTGACTTCCCTCTTTTTCAAAGGCTACATCTAATCACTTATGAAATTGGCAAGAACTACAAATCAAGACTTGTCTTCAATACTCTTTATATATACTCTCAGAAATAAAGAAAACAACAAAAAAAGGAAATTTAGAAAGAATAATAACATCAACTAGTAAAGTATACAAGCAAGATTTATGAAGAAAAAAGCCTCTAAAATAATGTGCCAGGGAAGATTGTGTATTTAGTTACAAGTGGTTTTTATATTTGTTTGTGGTTAATATTTTCCATCTTTTTTCATCAGTTTTTCAATTTCTATAACTAACATTAATATTTGTATAGAAATTCTCATAATGGTATAAGGAAACTATTCTTGGAAAATACAGGAATAGAAATATCACAAACTTAAAAATCATATCTCTCTTGTTAGAATAGTTTCTTCGAATTAATTGAAAATAGACCGTTCCTTTTCCAAATTAAGGAACATATTTTTACCCCATCTTATGAATTTTACAAAGACTAGAATTAGGTCTTAATTGAGAACATTGAAAATTAATAACAGCAAAAAGATGATACTCCAACACCAAAATTACTACTTTATAAGTTTCCTTTTAAAATTGTGAGTTCTCCAAGTGCATTTGTCTATTAATTCTTCCATTCATCCGTCCATCAAAAGTGAATTGAATTTTACTGGGACATTTACTCCCATCTCTCAGGGCCCTTCCAGCTATTAAACAATTCCTGTCTACATCTGGCTTGTGTAGGTTGAGAGAAGTAAAAAGGAAGTAAAAGTACTATGTGCTAATTAAAGGTGTCCCTCTTTCCTTTTAAAGTAAAGCATTTCTGAATAATGGCAATTGTACTAGGTGATCTTTCAAAGTTTCTTTTACAGTAGTGTTTACTAAATGCTAGTCTAGTCATTGGAAATGCCTGATGGACAGTCATTTCATTAAAAATTTGCTCTACTCATTGTAAAATGACTATAACTCAATAAAAAAAATGTTTAAAAAATTTCCTCTACTGAGCTTAAAATGCTTGGTGCTAATGACAGTCCATAGGTCCATTTACACTCCCACCCCGTGGACCACTAGGTCATACCTTCTCTATCTATCTGTCTCTTCCTCTGATGAGCTTGTTCACATTTCACTGAAAAGAAAGGCAACCAGAAGGGAATTTGCACAAGCCTGGAAGACCACACTGACCCACGTGCCTGCACCTGGCCCACCATTGTTCCTTCTTTCCTGTTACTGTGGATGAAATATCCCTGCTCCTAAGGAGGGCAGTCTCTCCACTTGGGAAACATGATCACTTCTTGACTTATTAAGGATGTTGCGCCATCAATTTTCCCCTCTCTGACTCCAACAGGATCTTTTTTTCTCTTTTCCTCAATATATGCTGTAATATTCCAATGCTAGAAAAAAACCAAACAGACAAATAAAAGACAAAATCTGGAGCTACTGCCCATTTCTCCCTTTCTCTTAGCATAAAATTCCTTGACAGAGTTGTGTGGGATGATTGTCTCCAGTGTTTCTCTTCATATTCTCTCTTGAACTCATTTCCATCAGGCTTCTGTCTCCTCTTCTTTGGGGAGATGACACCCCTGTCTTACGGACCACCCTTCAGTTACCAGGAGCTCTATGTTTGTGTAAGACATATACAGACATACTGAAGGGTTATTACCTTCTACATCTAATGAGCTGCCCCATCTCTGTTTGTACCCTTGTCACCCATTTCTATTGCCATAATGTGGGCTCTTACTTCTTCCTTAAATTATTACAGTAGGTTCTAAATGATCACTAAGCCTCAATCTTCACCACCCACTCTCACTCACCCTCCATACTGCTACCAGCAATAACTTTGTACAAACTTTGATAAAAACTCTCCAACAGATCTACACTGCCTGCAAGTCAAAGTCTAAACCTTTAGCCTGATAATGACATGGACAAATTACCCCAAGCCGTGTAACACATGTCCCCCAGATAACACAGAGGAAACAGAGCTAGCTTAGAATAGTTTTCAGATAATCTGTTGAGTTCCTGATACCTGCTCATCCTCTTTGCTCCCAGGTGGTCTCCCAAGACCTATGTACTGTGTAGCCACCTGTGTCAGGCTATGAAATTTCCTAGTCATCTATCCTAGAGCAGTGGGGGACTACTTACTTACCTTAGATTCTCACTGTTAAGGTCAGCTACTCAGATCGTGAGTTTGACATAATGATGAAAATCTCTATTGTGACTTGGGTTTCCACCTCCGTTTTAGGAGAGGCTGCAATAATTTTCAAGGTTCAGCAGGATCCTTTCTCTGAATCTAAAGGAACTAAGTCTCCCAGAGGAGGTTCATTCAAAGGTTATCTCCCCAGAGCTGGTCAGGGCCCAGTCCTTTGTTTGGAGTGTGCAGGATATGAGTCTTTGGTGCACAGATAGATCAGTCTATTCCTGTGATTCAAGGAATTATTACACTTGCTCATTCCTGCCTTTGTGTCTACCAATTTAGAAAGATTTCCTAGCCATTTATGCAAATCCTTACTATCCTTAAGGGCCCAGCACAAACCTGTCCATTTCTTTGAACTCTCCCCCGTGCCTCCCCACATCTCTACACATGGAAGCGTTTGCAATCTCTGACACGCATTGGGCACATTTGTATATTGCCTTCAAATATCACTTTACTGGGCATGTTGTCTGTCAATGTCCTCATGCAGTAAATACTCAGGAAATGAAATATGATTGATGAATTGCTTAGGTTATTCATTCTTTAATGTAGAATTTCATTTGCCCTAAACTATTCTTCCAATCTTCATAGGATACTTAGTTTTAATATACAAAATTAAATATGCAAATTCTTATTCATTTTTCATTTCCGACTGCTAGCATAGTCCCATTTCCGATTTACCTTTTCACACGGAAGAGTTTTAATCTTTTTGACTTCTAATCGCTGTGACTTTAATTGCTTTTCTCTGTGCTTTCTCTGCCTCTGGCATTAAAAAAAAATGTGGTGATTAAAATGTCACATCACCTTTTGCACAAAGAAAAGATACTTTGATTTCCAATAAACTTATAGGTCTGAACAGAATTTTGCTAGTTTTTCTTTTTTGTATCAAAGAAACTTATCAAGGAATACTCTTAATTATTTTTGAGTACTTTCCCTAGGTCACAATAGATAACCTGAATCCATCATTCAATGTTAGGATAGATGTTAGCTACTATTAACATTGACAGATTACTATGTTCCAAGCAGTGTTCTAAGTGCTTGTTATCTTAATCTTCACAGCAACCCGAGGAGGGTTGTCTCATTTTCATTGGAGCAACCAAACATGGGAAGATTCATTTGTTTAAATTGCAAGCTAAGTCTGACTTCCCTCACTGCCATGCTACACTGGCCTCACCTGACTCTAATATAAAAATTCCTAAAAATGATACTTCCTATGTGTCTGAAGTGTCTTTGACCCTTTTCTGCATAATTAAATAAAGTTTATCCAAGTCAGGTTGAGAGATCTAAACACTTTTTTTAAATACAATTTTACCTTTTAAGATAAATAAAAATTTAGCTATCATTACGACCTCTTACAGATCATTTATTTTAAAATGTTATATTAACCATATTGTAGCACTCTCTGGCAACTTTTATGTTTTAGAGTTTCCCTCTTTGTAGAGACAACTTATTATAATCTATAATTTTCCTCATATGAGGCAAATTACATGAAACATAAGATATTTTTGTGCATATTTTCAGACATCAAATAGGAACATCTTATTTTTCTGCCTGTCTGCAACCCCAACACACACACACACACACACACACACATTTTTCATACATGACAGAATGTGTTGTATCCCCTGAAATGTCTTTCACCCCTGACCCTTGCTCCTGGATTCTTTCCCTTTTAATATATTTCACATGCAGTAACAATTTGGTACTATTTTCATTATGTGGTATTTGTAAAGCCAGTATATGGGGAAAAGCAAACTGAAAACAAAATGTCTACAGTAGAATTGAAAATTACCCTAATGGGAAACGAGTAGAAGCCATTTCATAGCTGAAACAACACCAGAGTAGAGATAACAGGAGAGACTCTGCTCCTAGTTTTACCAATACTTGACCTGCGTCACTCTTGACAAGTAATACACTTATAAAATAAAAGGGGGTTTAAAAAAGAAACATGTACACAAAAGATGGAAGTAAAAGGGTAAAACAAAAATTATAATACAAAAATTAGATGTTTAAAAAAATTTATTAAAATTTATTAAAATGCTAAACCTAAGAAAAGATCTGGAAGATGGTTTAAAGAATAGTTCTCTGTTCCTCTATTCACCAGAGGGATGATAGTTTAGGCAACAGATGGTACAGTCTTAACCAATGAGAGAAGTCTGCTGGCCAAGCCCTATTTTGCCTTTGTCCTTAGTGTTATGCAACCTACACAGTCTTCAATCCTAGAACAACAACAACAAAAAAAGGTTGGGAAAATTACTAATATGAATTACAGTCACTTAAAAAGATAGTATCTGGTCACTTTAAATGAATCCAAGCCCCATATTACCCCAGAGTACTGAAAGAATTTGGTGAAATAACTCATAACCTTGGACAGTAAATTTTTGTGTCAAGGGGATTTGGTTGACTTGCTACGTAGACAGATAAAAGCTTCACAAGGACAAAAGACTTGTTAATATAGTTTCCTGGTGTAGCCACAGCTTCAAGCACATTATCTCCCATGCATTAATGGCTTGACAGGTGTCCCTGACAAAACTCCAAAATCTACTTTTTTAAGTTTGTAGACACATGGAAAAGGAAGCAGTGATCACTAGGAGGCAGCACTGATTCACAAAGACCAACTGTCCTCATGTCCCAGGTTCCCCACTACAGAGAGGAATGAAGATTTATATATTCCACTCTTACAGAGATAACGATAGCAAGTGGGACTCTGAAAAACTAAGGTGACAAGACCCACGTTTGTAACTTTTCCGCACCGGCCTTTGAATACCTAGGATAGCTGTGTACTGTTAGAGTCCACAAATCACACCAGGTGTTTTAAATGCAGTCTGAGCTCACTTGTCCCAACCCTGGAAGACAGGTATTATCTTCTCTTAGAGGTAAGGATTCTGAGACAGAACTAGGGACTCATCCAGGCATATGACCAGTGCTAGGTCTTTTTTAATATTTCCACCACACTTTCCTTACTTAGCAATTTAGTGAGTATTTCTTTTGGCCCATTGCAGATCTGCTGAACCACATTTCAGATCTACTGAACCATGGCCCAGGACTATTCAGAGCATCTCAGGTAACCAAATGAAAATGGTCCACAACACAGCTTTGGGAACTGCCTTAGTTGTCTAAGTATTTCCTTCAACCAGGCTTCTGATAGATATTTGACAGCAGAGATTTTGAGGTTATACTTTCTGCTGATAGGCAGTCTTATATAAGGAGTACAAAGACCTGGCTGAATTAGAGCCCTGTTGCCCACAAGCACGACCTCCTGTAAGACACTTAACCTTGTTGAGCCTCAGTTTCCCCATATGTAAAATGATCAGTACTATAAGCACTTGGCATCCTGCCTGGGACATGATATCCACTAAGTGCTCCCTAATTTTGAAGGTGAAGGCCCAGAATACACTATCTTGCCAGTTAAGAGTTGCTTTTTAACCGTGGCTCCTATACAAGTAGGTTCACGTGCCATTATGAAGGGACTGTATACTTTCTCATCCACATGGCTAATCTATTGTGTTACACAGCTGAGAAAAATGCTGACATGGATAGCTTACCTTTGTATCAAATACTATTTAAAAGTTGTTTTTATTGTATTTATTTCACATTAGGTTAAAAATTCAGAATGACTTCATAAAGGTGTTAAACAGATGTTAAGTAAAGCAGATATTAATAAGATTATCTGTTTTAAACTGTTAGTATCTTTTCAGTTAAAAAGAAATGAGTCCTTTTTGCAGATAATTGCCCATTACAAAAAACTTTAGTGAAAATATCTTGCCAGGAATTTCTCTGATTCGTTGTTAAGCTGGGCTTAGTGTCTGAGTTATAAAGCAGAGGTAATTACAGGTTAAAACTGACTTGAGCCTTTTTATAAATAAGAAACTGATTATAGAGTAAGTCTCATTAAAGAATATAAAAGACTTGATGGTGCATATTAGTCAAGTTGCCACTTGGAGTTGCGGCTCCCTTACAAGGCTCATGCAAAATGAAATCCAATTTGAATTGGTTACGAGCATAAAGAGCCTGCCATGTGCACTCAGGAATAAAGAATTGCATATACTACTTGGTGTATTTTCATGCATTTCCCCTACAAATCATTAACAAAGACAGCCAGTTTGCATTTTGGGAATGTTTTTTCTGGCATCAATCAGGAAAATATATCTTTATTAGGAATTTTAGATTTCAAAAGGATACATCATATTAGAAAACTCATTACTGTGAAGGAGAGGGACTGTGGTTTGTTTACTGCTTTATGTGTAATTTGCATTAGGGTAAGCGTGTTGAGAAACATCTGACTCTGGATATTATTTATACTTAGCAACTGAATGATCTGTATTCCTTATTTGATTTTTGGAATTAGTTTACCAACTTAAAATACCATCATTTATTTATATAGAACATTCGGTTTACAGTGCCTGATTAAAGTAGTCTGTTTGCTTTACCCACTTTGCATTATTTTCATTTAATTACTAAATTGATTATAAAACTTTATACTACAAAAGCTGTTTTTATAAATAGCCAGTACTGGCTAACCTTCCTCTAATCCTCCAGAGACAGCCCTGAACATCAGAAGATCAACCAAGTTATTCTGGTTGATGGTTCTTGCTGACCAAGGAAGAAAACTGTCTCAACAGTTCTCTCCTTACAAGTCCTGTTTCTGTGAAAATGTAAACAAAGATATTTTCCTCTGGAAAATGTTTTGTGAACCAAAAAACTACCATGTCTAATAAGTAGTTTTCAATATTAAAATATACAATGAAATTCACCTTTAAACTCTGAAATGATCCATTCCAGAATCCCTTTTCAGAATTTATACAAATTAGCTGTCATCTCTTCCTGTTGAGCTTGTGTTGTTTAAGCCGAGGGTCAGCAAACTACGGCCTGCAGGCCAAATCTAGCCTGCCACCTGTGATTATAAATGAAGTTTTATTGGGACACAGCCACAACTATTCATTTACATATTATCTATGGCTGTTTCCATGCTATAACAAGAGTTGAGTAGCTGTGACAGACCATATGTCCCTCAAAGCTTAAAATATTTACTAACTGCATCTTTACAAAAAAAAGCTTGCCAACTCCTATTTTAAACACTTTTATTAAAAGAAAAGAAAAAGAAACTATAGAATGTAAATATTTTTCTATTCTTACCACAAAGTTACACACTTTGGCCTACCTGACTTGATTTTAAGTTCTGGGGACTAGCCTGGATATCTGAACACTACTTATAACGTTGTTTCTATGGATTCTTTTAAAAGTATAAAAATGAACTGTATAAAGGAGTTTTAGGAAACAGCCTATTTGTAGATGAGGGACATTAATTACTTAATTGATTCACTCAAATAATCAACCAAAGAATAGGCCAGACATGCTCAGAGAAAACATGTTTACTTCTTTTGAAATCAGGTTTATGGAAATAGGGAGTCATGGAAAGTTGTTGACAATAATAGCGAGCACTGCCTCCATATAGACTTAAGGTGTATTTACTCACATTTATAAACAACACAAAACCCCTTTAATACTAGAAGTTCCCCAATTCTTAAAATTAAAAGCTCAGATGGCTTATAGGACTATATATGGAAACAATTTTTTTCAGATAACATACAACTTTGTTAGCATGTTTCCTTTTCTCAACCAAACACACTTTTACCGCACTTCCAAAGTGGTAGGGGGCAACCAGCAGGGCAGTGTGATAAATAGGGATGGGTCAGATAATTGCAGAAGACAAGACTTACCTTCCTGTGACTTTCTTAAAAATCAGGCAAAGAAACATTTGTATGCTGTACAACAAATGGTATTTGTATGCTTAATCTATAGAGCACATGAATTTCTCTTTTCAACTAGTTTTCCATAAACATTAAAATACCAGAATATCCTTTCTAAACGTTCTCAAAATAATGATTAGATTTTACACTATTTAATAGAAAAATAAAACCAAGCCACCAATCTTACGATTTTTAAAAAAAGTTTTTTCAAGAAAAGTGTAGAAATATTTTAATTTACATATCATATTACAATGAATCAATATGGAGTCAAAATCCACAATTACACATTGATAAAAATTCAGCACATCATCCTCAGAATAGTCAGTTTCTGTACAAAGATTTACAGATGTCCAATGTATGTAGTTTTTTCCCTCAGTGTGCTACAGAGTTCAGAGGTTCTGCTCGTATATTCCCCAAATCAAGTGCAGAATCTGTCTCTTCATCAATTTCTCCAATGACTGCACTGTAATTATTTAAGGGAAAAAAAAAGTTAAAACAAGCTCATTTCTGACTAAAACTGAGAAAAGATAGTAAAAAGAACTGCTTATGGTGAAAAACATTTTCATGTGGTAGTGAATTGCACGTTTGAGTCACAAAACTCAAGAAATAACTTGAAGACAACATTGTTACAGGAACAAATATTAAAGGACAGACTGCATATAGCGTTACTGGATCACGAGTCTTTAAAGGAAAAAGACACATAAGGGATAGATATGGTACAAAACCCAAAGCTTCACTGGGGCTGGGGGGTGAGGGAGTGGGGAAGTCACAAAATCACTACTAAATAAGCAAGTAAAAGTGTATTATTTGAGTAACTTCAATGAATTAAATCCATCAATGGTATATATAATATCTACTAGTTTCCTTTCCCTGATTTCTCAGTTTACTCAACTTAAATCCAATACCAAAAAGAAGTACAGTTCTTCATATACAAAGATAATCATAGATACTTAGGTATCTAATAAATGAGTTTTTGATATGACTGGCTAGGGTTAAAGCCAGCAAACTTTTCCCTGATTCGACATTAACATAACACCTATAACATCAGTTTCATTAATACCATGGAATACCAGGTAACCAAGCCATGGCCTCCAGCTGGATGTAGTCATTGCTACATCCAGACCACAGGACTTGCATAAAGCATTATTCCATAAAAAACTGGTTGTGTAAATTTGTTTTGTTTTAATGATAGTAAATCCTACAGACAAATACTTGTAATACGGAATTTGCCTGATTTTGCTTTAAACTATATAAAGTTTTCAGTTCGCTAATAAATGGGAAGCACCAAACCCTAGGGGAATATATTAAGTTTTCTCAATATGAAACAAATCAAAGATCTCAATTCCATCCTTAAAAATTTAGTATCATTTAAAATCCTTATGGAAGACAGTGGAGTGCTGGTAAATATTTTAAAACCAGCTCTCCAAAGAAAAATGGGGAGGCTGATTTGCAGTGTTGACTGATATCTGCAGTGTAATACTCCCACTATGGCCAATTTCAAGCTACCAACAAGACATCAATCAACCAGTTTGCAAAATTCCCCAAAATATAAAAATCTGCTTCTATAAACCAGTATAAGCTGGCTCCAGCATACCACTGGGTCTACAGCAATGTTTTAAATTCTTTAAAATTGAAGTTCAAAAAAATGTTTTATTTCAATTAAAGTAGGAGAAAGCATCTTAAAATCAATTATTAGGCAGAACCCCAGTATAAACAGTCAGCACTGTTCTGGTCAGGGGAACTGGTCTGCTTTGCCTTCCTCTCATTCTTTACAGCTCACTTCACCCAAAAGTCATCTCTCTAGAATATTTTATAAAGCCCCGATTTTGATTAAAGAACAAATAAGCTATCCATCTAAAAGTGATTTTCTTAAGACAGACAATTAAAATGACTAAAGTATTCCTCCATCTTCCATACCCTACTTGTCCAACAAAATAATCGGAGATACCAACATTATCTTTTGCTGCCTTCCAGCTGTGTTTTAATTCTAAACAGTACTCCCTAGAAAACTGATTCAACAATCTTCTGGCCTCTGTAACTGCACTGTGTAATAAAGTAGCTGCTAGCCACAGGTGACTATTAAAATTAATTACAATTAAATAAAACCTAAAATTCAGTTCTTCAGTCACACCAACCACCTGTCAAGTACTCAACAGCCACACACATGGCTGGTACCTACCACAGTAGACAATGCAGATACACAACATTTCCATCATCCCCCAAAGTTTTACTGGACAGTATTGCTCTACACTATTGCAGACTTTTCCTAAATTGCTGCCACTAAAATATATCTTCTTGAACTGCCATATCAATGTGTCCCAAATTAACTGAGGCCATGACATAAACACGGGACATCTTAAGTGCTAATTATACTAAAAAATTAAAAGAAAAAATAAGTAATGGATAAATACTTGTTAATGAATTCAGCTATGTTTTAAAGCATTAATTATTTTGAACTGTTCACACAGGAGATTTCAAAGACAATTTTAAACCCTAGCCGTGAACCCTAGAAGTATATTTATGTTCCTCTGAAATTAGGGGTATTTTGTAAGAACATTTTAAGAAGTCTCTCCAATGAAGTATTCAGTGTCAAGGCAGAGCCCTTTCTGGACCTTATCCAGGCTACTTCTATTAGAAATACAGACAAATCTCAGTAGATTAAAAAACTTTTCTCCATACAGCAAGGTAGTACATGAGTAGTATATTTAACTTGCCTTAAAAAAAGATGCATTGTACTTACACATTATCTCCTCTTACAATGTATAACCCTAGCACCACTTGTTCTACTCCCTGTGAAGAGCTGAACACTCGTTCATGGCTTTCATCCAAAATCAAATTAATGGTCTGGTCAAAACCTTTCAGTGTTCCCTGTAAAGAAAACATTAAGAGGAAAAGACAAATAATTCTGGTTTATCTGAATGCATACACAATTTTAGTTGCCAGGTACTCCAAAAGAAATACCTATTTTAAATATGTATCTATATATCCATATCTATATATCTACTGTAAAACAAAATACCTCTTTATGAGCAGCAGTATTCTTGGGCACAAAATTTACCTCTTGGTTTTTTAAGGGGGGAAAAAATAAAACTACAACACACTTCTGAGTAGCATGCAGAGTTGTTGAGAATTACAAAGGACACAAATGTACTAGTTTATTTCCAAGGAAGCAGCATAAAAGCCTAATAGTCCAAGAGCAAACATTTTTAAAAATATAAACTAAAACAAGGGGAATTTAAGGGAAATATCCCTATACACAGCAGCTACAGCAATGTCACAGTATCACTTCATATTACCTACCAGTACTAGACCTTGTGCTAAACATGCTGCATACAGTACCTCAACTAAACTCCACTCTTCGAGGTAGATACTATAAATATTCCCTCATCAGAGAAAACTGAGGCACAGAGAGGTAATCCCTCAAGGTTTAATGGATAGAAATTAGCAGAGCTAGAATCTGAATCATGAAAGGCTAGCTTCAAATCCAGACCAATGAACTACTGTTTTATACTACTATGAACAAGCAAATATAATCTACCACTTTAAATAAATTCAAATCAGTCCCATAAGTATACAGAAACTTCAACTGGTAGTAACAGCTAAGACTTAATGAGTGCTGAACGAGGTATTTGCCAAACAGTGTTCTATGGGCCTCAAGTGGATTTTCTTACTTAATCCTTTCCAATAACCCAGTAAGAGTAGGTACAAATGTGACTGTAACAATTAGAACGTTCCAGAACTTGAAGGAAATATTAGCTTTGGAGTCGAATCCAATTTAAACTCCAGTTTGGTTCTGCCATGTATTGTCCACACGACTCTGGGAAGGTGACTCACGTTTTCTGAGCTTGGTTCCTAACCTACAGTACAAGGTTAATTCTCCTTCACAGAGCTGGACTGAGATCAACTGACATAACACATGTAACGTGCACGGTACCTGATATGTTTAATAAATGGCAAAGTCTGACATTTTGGTAATAGTCACTTAACAACCCACTGAGAAAAAGCAAAAGAATTAAACAGAAAAGAAACAAAAACAGAACTGCAGAATGGGAAAATAAAAGATTAAATTATATGAATTAGATAGTTAGAAAATAGAGAAAGTTTAGCAGCCTTAAAACTTATTTGACAGTGAACAACAGTATGAGTTATAAATAAAGAAATAATTAAGAAGCCAAAAATCATGGGATAAATTCCTCAGATCAAGAAACAGGTCAAGGAGAGAATCTAGGATTTTTCTGGAATTAAAAGGGGATACTGTGATAGCAGCACAAGTAAATTTAGTCATTCATCATAATTTATTCTACAGAAGACAGAGATCATACCAACCCAAGAATATCCAAAGATGATCACCATAAAAGCCTTACAAGTTCATTATTTTATGGAGGTAGTCTCTAAATCATAAAAAAGTTTCTAAGAGGCAGACATAAAACTTCAAAAAGATTGTATGATTCATGTAGAGTGGATATCAGAGCACTGAATGCAGAAGGAAATAAAAAATGGAAAAGGAAGAAGAATAAAAAGACAGGCAGATATCTGCAGACTAGACTAGAAGCTCTCTGAAGGCAGACTCATCCTAGCTTCTAGAAGCCTTGAATGTAGCATACACTCAATGTTTGTTAATAGAAAAAAGAATGCATTGGCAGCTATTTATCACAGTGATACAGGGCTGAATCATAAAACTGCAATGCAGGTGTACTGTGGTGCCTAGGCATTAGAGATCAGAGGTTCTACATAATAATTTACAACCAGTAAACCAGCTAGAATACAGAGAATGAACATGCCAAGTACTTACCACAATCATTCTCCCGTCAGAAGTAATAACAGCAACAGTTCCTGATAAATGAATCAAGGAAAGCATTTCTCTTGGAATGCAAACTGAAAACTTAAAATCTTGCAAGGAAAAGATTTAAATTACTAGGGAAAAGGTGACAGAATTAACATATAGCTTTTCAACACAGCCACATTTACAACATAAAAACTATGCTCCTCATTTTTTGTGTGTGAAAATTACACAATTTAAAAACGTAAAGAAATAGGAAAAGAACATCCCTTTCTGTATATGATCAGTGTATCTTATTCCAAAACAGCTGGGGTGTTTGGTACTCTTTTTTCACTGGGGAATATTGCCAATCTGACAACTGAGCAAGACATTTTCCCCTTTCTTAGACCTGTATATTTAACTCTAAAACGAAAATTGGATCAGTGTTAAACTAATGAATGCTGACTGATTTCAAGCACATTAAGACACAATCTTCCAGGACCAGGCTTTTGGAATTCAAGAGAAAGAAGCAATAATCAATGCCACTAGGTACCAATATGCTTGCATCATTAAAAAGCCTTTTAGCATTTCACTTTTGCCCAAAATTTGTACATGAGAGTACAATGTAGTAGTTATGGCCCGAGACGTTAAAAAGGTAACAGGTGTATAGGGTACTTCACGTGGGCTTTTTAAAGTTATTTGTCCCTCAGGACGATCCATTACAACAGCAAGCATTATTTAATTCCATCAACAAAGAAGCTGGGATTTCAAGTGGTAAAGGGGCAGAAATTTTATTTGTGCACCATCTGCAAAGTTTTTGCTATCCTCAAACAATGAACAATGTCTATGAATGAAACAAATGCATGGATTTACAAGACCATTGTCGCCGCTAGTAAAACTTCAAATATTCCTAAACCTGAACGTATAGGCCCTAGGGAAATAGTAAGGATGAATCAATAGCTGGTTTCCATACAGACAAGGAAAAGTTTGGAATAATCATACTGGTTTTTTTTTTTTTTTCCCGGGTTAAAATTAAAAGGCGCCTTGGGCCCGCAGAAGCTGCTGGTCCCAGCCCTGGAGGCGGGACTGGTGAGTCCCAGGTCATTAAACCCCACACCCGCATCCCAGGCCTCCGCAGTGGCCGGGCGTCCCAACCGCCCGCCGATCCCGACCTCTCCAGCATCAGTCCTCTCCGGTGCAGACGCGGGCCTCGCCACGGCCCGGGCTAATGCCCGCGGCGCCAGCTGGAGGATACGGTTGATGTAGTTCTCCAAGGCGGACGTCATTATGCTCGGCCCGGCCGCTGTCCACACAGCAGCGCCGGCGACAAGAGGAGCCAAAAAGGCCCGCCAGTACCCTACGGCGGCTTCCGCTGACTGGCAGTAGCAAATACCGCGAGAGTCACCGCAGGCCGCCTCCGCGAATCAGAGACTGAAAGAACCCGGCCAGCCATACCCGAGAGGCAAAGCGCGGGCCGGTTTTAATGCGCGTGCGCAGTGTGTTTCCACTGTTTTTCTGGGCGGTGACCTCGGAAGCTGAGGGGGACAAAAGCAAGCGCCAGGAGGAAGAGAGGAGGAAGCTTCCTGAAGGTGGGGTAGTGGGGAGACTGGGCGAGCGGGTTTCCTAGCGGAGTGGAAGGGTTTGTGGCAGAAGTTTCTTACCGGGGAAATGTTGAGGAAAGACAGAGAAGGCGGGAGAAAACGAAATAGGTGTTTTCGTCACAAGTGAAATAGCGAGATAAGCGCTGTTCTGGTATGAAATGTAGACGCGGGGAGGTGGAATCTGGTTTTCTGCCCCACGGGCCAAAAATTAACCGTTTAGCAGCTACAGGGCCCAGGACGAAGTTGCACACGTAACCATGTGGTATACATGTCTGGAAAACACAGCAATAAAAAGCATGTTCGCTTAGTCTGCGTTTCCCTCTAAAAGCGCACCAACGCGGAGGCGTTGTTACTCATTTATTTAAGAAACAATGCAAACGGAAAAGTATTGAGTCTTCCTTAGAAAAACAGTCTTCCTTCTACCACGCCCCAAGGCCTCCCTGCCCTCGGTGAAATTAGTGACTAAAAGGCTGGCCGGCTGCACCGCCCTGGAAAGGACTGATTGAGGAAGAGTCTTCTAGATAAGCACCAGGCTGGGTTCCAGTCCTGCTATGCTAACGACATTGTGAGGGTGGCCTCGCAACAGTAACATCAGCTCCTCCGGGCCTCAGTTTCCTTAGACCCCATTTGGATATTACCATATGTTATTAGAAAACCTCACTCTTATTTTACTGTGGTACCCTAACTTCAAAGGACTTGAATTTATGAAAGAATCTGTATACAAAATACTAGTGATAGTAGTTTCCCCTTTTTACAAAATAGCCTTATAATTTCAGTTAGACTTGTGATTTCTTAACTGGAGAGTTGTGGGTTTGAAAACTTTTGCAATGTTGTCAGTTTTCTTCTGAAAAGTGAAGCGTCTGTTTTCAGTACAGCATACCCATGAAACTACCTACAGATCACTCCCAGATATTTAGTATCTTGTATACTGAAACTTAAGCTCTGACCTGTCTGAAACCACATACATTCAGGAATCAGATGATAAGTGCCCCGTTTGTACTGGGTGGGGTGGGTGGTGGTGGTAAATGAAAATACCTTCCATAAATTAAAAAACGAAGATACTGTGTGGTTTGCAAATGTTAGACATTAAACTGAAAGAAAACCAAAGTACTAATTAGTGATAAATGAGGTATCATTAGTAAGGAGGTTTTAAAAATAATGTGCCAAATATTTAAAAGTGAATAATCCATGTAGTTTTTCATCTCTTAGAGTGCATTTATACTTGAAAATGTTTAGTAACATTATGTAGTAACTTACAGAGCTAAGTTCATCAGAAATACATTATACGTTTATGACCCTGTAGTTTCCATTAAATTAATATGCCAAATAAATAACAGATGTGCAATGTTTATAGGGCATCACAGAATCTCTTTGATTTGAACATTTTTTACACACACATCTTAAAACCATGTTTTCTGTAGTCCCTAATGATCACAGATGTGGAGAGAAAGCCTATGAATAAAGAAAAGTCTTTAATTAAAGATAAAAAATGAGTTACATCTAGATGCAGGTCTTACATATGTGATTTATCTAAATTAGCCTTGTGGCCTTGGGAGTACATGGACATAGAGAGTTTAACACCTCATAATGGAAAATTAAAGTTCCCAAAGAGGGAAGTGATACATATAAACATCTGACAACTAAAAAGTCAAGTAGGGGTTCGGTGAGATTTTTGAGCTTAAAATCTTTCAATGTACTACTCATGTAAATAATATTCTCACTGTTAAAAGAGTCAAAGTTTGCTGGAGTGCCTTTTTATTTTAGTGATGGAACATTCATTATATTAGTTCTAAATCTAAACTTTGAACAGAAAACTAAAATTTTCTGATATGTTTAGTTTATTTAAGATTTGCCCAACATTTTATGTATCTCCAAACCCAGTCATGAAACTCTCTCTCATTAGTAATCCCATTGAGTGTATCTAGAACAGTGATAAAGATTTTTCAAGAATAGGGCAGAAAAAGAGATAAGAAAGGATAGGATATCTGACATTCCTGGAGTTACTTCCTATTAGTAGCAACCAATATATATAAAATGGGTCTCTCTCTGGAAGTACTGCTTAATGATTCCCATGAGAAGCAGGGCCCTCATCTCCCTTTGTATCCTGTATTCTTTTCATTAATCTGAAGAATCAAACTCATACTAGATTCTGAGGAAACTGAATTTACACTTTTCCTGTGAATGGTTCATGGAAAAAAAATGACAATCATAATTGGAAAATTAAGACATTATTTGTGACCTAATATGATATGATCTTTTATTTACTTTTATTTTTTATTGATTTGTATTTCTACAAGTTTTACAAATGTTAACCAATTAGCAAAATATATTTATTAGATCTTTCTAGGGTTCTCCAAGGCAGAAAAAGACATAAATAAATCAGGTTCTCTCCTTACAAGGAAATTTCTGAATAGGTACAGAGCTTTAATTATAAACATGAAATAATTCATGTATGGAAAAATAATAAATATCCTAAATGATAAAGGTAATTGATGTGGAAATATTAGTTCATTTAATTATAAATTACTAAGTTTTTCATATATTATGTATTTTTTTCCTTTTAAGTTAAGACAGACATTTTTAACTCTCATTTTTAAGAGATGGAAAAAAATCAAACATAACAGCCTTGCTAATTGAATAGCAGTATAGAATCATAATTAAGGACACTATCTCAGGAGCTAGCCTGTTTGGAATTGGATCCTGTGTGACTTTGAGTGGATTACTTAACCTTCTTACTTCAGTTTTCCCATCTGTAAAATGGAGAAATGATGGCATTTACATCATCAAATTTTGGGGGGACTAAAAGTAATTCTTATGAAGACCGGCATGTAATAAGCACTCAATAAATGTCAGTTGTTATTGCTCGTGGACATAGACTGCATCACAGGCAACCTTTTTCTCAGTCCCAGAGCTTATTCTGCTACAATATTTTATTCACTGCCTTTTTTCCTTATTGGACAAATTGAGCAGTACACATTTTAATTGCTTGAGGAAGAGGAAGGTGAATGTTAGAATCTTGAAACATTGTATGAGAGAAGTAAGATGTAAATCAGGCTTGAGAAAAAGTGCACATGTACTTTAGGAAAATTAATCTGGCAGTAATTATTTAGTAGAGATAGGAACTGAGGATAAGAAGGCTAACAAGAATCCAGGTTTGTTTCTGATTTGTAGCAGTAGAAATGGTAAAGCAGAAGATGTGATTCAAAGGTAGTGGTTAAGAAAGGCAGACAGCAAATCATGGACGGCATAGTGATGGTGGCTGGTGAATCGGAAGAATGGCAGGAGTAGGGAGATCCAGGGAAAGACGGCTACTTGTTAGTAAAGTAGATGGGACCAAGCTGTAGAACTGGGTGGACGTGACACTGCTCACCAGCCAGTGGCGAGGCCACCAAATACATGGTTATACTAGTGATGGCATACACTTCACCCTAAAGGTCTGGAGAGCCAGTCTGTCTCCAGAGGCCCACTGTTTCCTTTATAAAGGATGATGCATGTTAATAAAATACTTACATACACTTTCATGCATTCATGCTTTATATTTTGGAAACTCAGAACAGTAATGTAAACATTTTGGCTACATTGTGGTATGTGCATTCCTGAAAACCAGCACACTGAAAAAAATAGCTCACTTAAAATTAACAGACGTTAAGGAGAAAATACGTGTGGAAAAGACCACTCAAAACCTGAACAACAGAACTAGAGTGGTGGTTCCCAAACTTTGTTGCTCATTGAAAACACCTGAGGGTCTTTGGAAACTGCTGATGCCCTGGCTCCCACTCCGAGACGTCTGAATTAAATGGTATGAGGGGAGAGCCTGGGCATCAGGATTCTAAAAGCTCCACAAGTGACTGTCATGTGAAACAAAGTTTGAAAACCACATAGCACTGAGACAATAACAATCCAAATGAAAATAGCACATTTAAAAGGACATGTTAAATTCCTAACAAGTAAAGAAATGCTATAGTAACTTACAGAGCTTTACCTTTAAAAAAAAAATTGAAGGTAGATTGAAAAATGACAGTCTATGGAAGAGCTGACACTTCTGGGTGACAGAAGCAAGGGCAGGAGAGCATCATCCGCAAAAGTAACAGGTGGAGAAGCAGGTGCAAACTTTGCACAAGGTTTAGAGGTGCAGAGATGATGGCTCTGGCTCATTGTCTGATGTTGCTTTTGCGCAGAAATCTAAGAGAATTGCAAAATAATCACGCCCAGAGTAGAGCACGAGGCTGAGCTATGCCAAGGGAAGAACAGGATGCCACACAGTGAAAGGGTGTCATTTGTGCACTGTATCCCTCCAGGCCTCATGTGACCATGCAGTCAACTGTGTGACTTTACATTCAGCTGTTGGATCTTGGTAGCACAAGACATTAAGGTGCTAGGAAGGATTAAGTATGAACCAATCAATGCACTTTCCATGGTATTCTAACGTTACTCCCGTAGTTAACAGTCAAATGTGAGCTGATTTGTTATTACACAAAGCAGAGCTGTAGCGCAACAGACTGTTAATATTCCATCGAGAATCTGGACCTTCGCTTTGGTTAACCTGCCCCTGTTTTTACTTGCCTCCTGTAGCACCAGGTGAATTTAGGGGTGGGCAGGTCTTATACCTCTGACAGTTGCCTAGGAGGGTACTTGAATTCGTACAACTTGGGACGGCTTTATTTAAATAGCAAGCAAAGAGGATAAGTAATCCAAATGGAGCACCTAGATCTGAGCCTTTTCAATATCTTCTGTGTGTTTATGTTTGTAAATTACCATTTTTGTGTTATCACTATTACAAAGCAGATTAAGAACAT